TTTTCTCAGGAATATAAAATGTTTTTAATTTTTTCTTATCATTGATGTTATTTCAACTAAAAACCTCCTAATCACAAAAGTCCGTCCTCATTCATGTAAGGCAATCTATCTAAATAATAATTATGTTATAGACTTATAAACTTTATTGTAATTCAATCAGACAAAAGGAACTTTAAAATCCACGCACTTTTACAACGATCTAGTACAGAATATTGTACGACCTTGACAAATAAAAATGTATCCAAATATCGTTCTTGTCCCCCATTCCTGTCTACTTTTAAGTCAAATTGTTAAACTTTAAGTATGATAATTAGATGTTGATATTGATGATAATATATTGTCGCACAATAAAGTTTAAAAGACATTAACAAAATAATTAGATAGAAGGATTTTGGTACAAGAAGTGAAATTAAAATTTTCTATTCATTTTGTTAACAAACTTTACAGCTTTTTAAATTCGATTTATATGCTTAAATTACAATGTTTAAATTAAAATGAACCTTTTTGTACCTCCACAAACACCGCAGAGTTTATTTATTTGTTTAGAAAATAGTTTTATACAAGTCTTTCAAAAAATATATTAATTTATTAACAAATCACCCGATTTGTTAATAAGTTCCATTAAATTCGCACAACTCCTTGCGAGTTGTTACAAAATATGAATTTGTACCATTGTGGACTTCGCATTCGCGCTAAAAAGTGCCCGTAGTTATAGGTCGTTAAAATCACTTACAGAGCGTCAATCGCGCAATATTGTTCGTATTCTTCGCAATACTATATAATAATCATTTGTAAAAATTACTGCAGTAAAGTGTAAAAACAGGATTTTGTATCATATTTTCACTATATAACTTAGAAATGTAAACTAAATGTAAACTATAACATATAAATGAATATGAAATATAAAATACAAAAGCAAACAAAATAATCAAATAGCTAACTGTCCTTTTTCTACACATTGCATGCGCAAAAGATGGAAAGAGGCCCATTACGCCAGTTTCAAGAAGCTTATATAAACTTCTTGGTCATTTTCAATTGTTCGAACCACAAACGATTGAAATATTTAGAACAAAGAAACTATAGTCGCTTTATTATACCTTTTGCCGGCCGTTTCATAGTCAACAAAGAAGTGTCCGGTTCGGTAGTCTAAAGATTTAACAAATTTATTTTGGCTCTTAACGACCAACATGAACGGTGTATAGGGGGTAGATGTGTGTCAATCGCGTTCGATCTAATCAAAATGATTCGAGCAGCACCTGTGACCCGGTAACCCGGTTACTAGCTTCTAAATAACCCGATCATTTTAGAGTTTCACGGGTCATGCGCGCAATATTCGACTTTGTCACAACAATTTTAGAGATCATTCAACAATTCACAGTATTATTGTTGTCTCGTTCACTCTCACGTAAAGTCCCCACTCACGACACGGTTCGCCTCTTCACTCTTCGTTTGGGTCGAACATTTGCTCGATAGAGCATTCATTCGATAAAACCTTCGTTCGATAGAACCAAAAAGTCAAGCAATCGATCAACTAGTCAACGGGTGAAGGGATTAATGAGTCTCATGGTCGTATTCCAGAACTCTACTCAATGCTCAAGTCAGGACTTGAGTATTGCAGTGAGCACTGAAAATCGTACTCAAGTCCTTGCCATTAGTGTCGTATTTCCAGTGCTTGTGTTTCCAGTGCAATCCTGACTTGAGCATTGAGTAGAGTTCTAGAATACGACCCTAAGAATCATTCATTCATCCTAATTTCTCTGTGGCGCACAGTGGGCCTAAACTGATAATTCTTGGACATAGGAATAACTTGTGGAGTATCGAGCTAGTTTTTTTATATATAATAGATAATAACATTTCTAACAACTTTAATTCTTGTATAATTTCTTGAAAAAAAAAAATAGTTAATTTTTTTTGTATGGAGAAATATACATTTTATTATTTGTCTCAAAATATACGTGGGTTACTTGCAGTATAGCTCCGATCATTTTCTATGTAGAATAAAATAATCCGTCTGCATGTACTTGCGGCTTTACAAGTAAAGGTGCGGCAAAATTGATAAGTGTTTTATGTAATTTTTTGACAAAATACATGAACTTCGACTAAAAAAAAAATTATTTTAGTGTAATTTAGAGAGTGTTATAACAATAACACGAAAGTTAAGTAGAAACTAGTATATTGTGTTAAAAAATAAATAACAAATCTAAAATTTTGGCACCTTTGTACTCGTAAAGCCGCAAGTACCTGCAGATGGATTATTTTTTCTTGATAGAGAATGACTGGACCTTTATTGTAAATAAATCACACACATTACGTTTTCCTACATTTCGAGATAAAAAATAAAATGTATATTTCTTCATACAAAAAAAACAACAAAAAAAACAAAAATTTCTCTGAAACTATCAACTTTCAAGAAATTATACAAGAATAAAAGTTGTTAGAAATGTTAATTATATTATCGATATGAATATTAAAATGAAGCTTGGCATCGACTATCACCCCGAGGTCCCTAATTTCATGCACTTGCTTTATTTTACTATCTAAAAGAACGAAGAAGAACTATCTAAAGTCATAACATATAGAGTTACGTTTACGAGTAAATGATATAACATAACACGTATCGGCATTCAAAAACAGTTGATCAATTTTACAATAACGTTTAAAATGTTTGCACATCTGTCTGCAACTTTAGTGTAAAAATAAGTTTAAAAATCTTCGTGTCGTCTGCGTAAAGCAGATGACGCGAGTCATGAAAGCAAGAACCGATGTCATTGAGAGTCCTGCGGATGTCTAAAGATATTTCGAGGAATCTAGAAGTATAACTCTTCAATGCCACAACTTGACTTCGATTAGTGATTTAGGAACTTACCCACCGAAGTAGGTCACCATGTATACCTTTAATAGTTTTAACTTTGATAGTTTTTAAAATAAGTGTTGAGTGACAACTTTTATCGAATACTAGAAAAATAGGTATACACGGCGTCCACCTGATGGCCCGCATCGAGCGCATTAAGAATGAAATCGGTATACAACATTAAATTTAAATCAACACTTCTGCCACGGAAGAAGCCGTGTTGTTGTTGTGATACGTGACAGAATACTATAATACTAAGATCATGTACTACAATTTTTTCAAGATTTTTCCAAGAATACAAAACTTAGAGATGGAGAGAGTTCTGTGAATCGGCCCAGGGCTCGCCCGTCGAAATGTGAAATGGAACGTCACCTTTGACCAGTGGCCCGGGGTAGCCGTGCAGCTCTGCAGCGAGCGGGTCCTCCGCCGTGGCCGCCGCCAGCGACAGGATCTGCACCGTGGCCGGCAGCCCGTCCACCGGGTACGACGGTCGCACCACCACGATGTGTCGCGACGATATGCTGCCCTGCGAGTCGTTGTCGTGCGTCGTCAATCGTCGAGTGCGCCACCGATTAAACGATGTTTTGTTTCAGGCGTCGCACTCGCTCGTAACAATTTTTTCCTCAAATAACTTTATTGCCGTTCTAACGAAAATGTTGTAATTGAAAAACCGCTTTTTCAGGCGTAGTGCCTACCTTGACGTGCGCGGTGGAGAACTTGAAAGGCGTCATGCGCTCGGAGCGCACCGTCGATTCCTCCAGGTGCAGGTTCAGCGACGCATCCGTGTTCAAGTCCCTGCAATGCATCAAGTCGATCATGTGCCACTGTCCCGTCGCTACGCTTCGCGAATTGTCCCATTTTGGGATCAAAGTTCATTCTTTCGATCTTTCCCGAACTTAATAGTAGGTACACAGTGGTTAGCTGAAGTCGTGCACAGTGACGAGCCGGGCGGTGGTGCAAAAGGCGCGGCTCGCGAACAATACACTCATGAGCTTAATGCAATTGTGAATACCGTGAGACGACCGAAAATGTAGATGAACGATGAGCTCTATTTACCAATCAGTAACCAAATATTTTACAATAGCAACGTTCAGTGTGAGAAAAGGCCTATACACCTCTACTAAGACAGCCCTCGCGAGCAATCGAAAGCTGGTCAAGATAAAGCTGTTACAATTATCGTTTAACGTTGAAAGCGTAGAAATTGAAATCGCAAAGTTCTTTGCAAGATAGCCGCCTGACGACACTTCGAAGGGCTGAAGCGGTGATTAATTGGCCGCAAATCAAAGAAGAACAACTCATGGGATATAAATGAGCCTCAACGAACGGGAAAATTGCAGCGGACATAGATTAAAGGAACAGGTATGTGAACGATTTCCCGAAGGTGTGATCGCAAAATGGTAATAGGAGAGGGCGATCAAGTTAGGTTTGCGGCACTAGGTGTGGCAATGGGGTACCACAGGGCACCTTTTTATCAAATATGCGCCATTATTGCATTATATTAAATTAAATAAAAATTGCTCTTTCATAGTAGGTAGGTACAGAATTTGTTGCTGGCTCAGGGCTAACAGTTTAGGTAACGACCGAGGGGGAATTGTTGGAGTCGTAACATGGGACCACCACGCAGACAAGTCGTGGGCCACCAGCGGGCCGGGGCGGGGGCCGCAGTCCCGAGCCGCGAGTCGGCACCCACCTGTCGGAGAGGTCGGTGCGCAGCGAGGGCGCGTCGTGCAGCGAGCCGTCCCGGCGGAAGGCCGCGCCCAGCGCCAGCCCGCCGAAGTACCTACGCCCGAACGCACAAGGGTCACTAGCGCTCGCGGGGCGCGCCCGTTCCGGAACCTAAGTCTTCGTCCGCGAATTCATGGCAAGTCTCGCTAACTGATTCGGACGAAACCAAAGTTAAGCGTGGAAATGGAAAACGAATCAACGGCGCAGTACAAATGAACACCGACACGCAACTTTGTTAAATGGAAAGATGTACTCGTTATGTGGATGTGTATAATACAAGCGTGGAAGTCGCGTGACACGCGGAAACACTCACGTGTCGTTGCCCTTGAGCCCGTTGGTGCTGGACCGGCCCGAGTGCACGCTGCCGCGGTCCTCTCTCTCCCTTCCTTCGTACCCCAGAGAGCCGTATACTGCAACACGAGCACCTTTCGTGACTCAGTTGGACGCTGTGGCAAATTGCAAGGGGAGATCCGTCGAAGTTGCACTTAAAACAAAGAGGTAGTACGAACCGTCAGCGTAGTTTTGCGAAAGCTTGGACGGACGGAAGTCGGAGGGCGGGGGCGGTGCGCGCCCGGCCAGCAGCTGCTTGTACACCTGCATGTAAGCGGCCGGGTTGGTCAGCCGCAGGTGCTCGTAGTACTGATACTGCTGCCGCTGCAGCGCGTACGGGTCGCCGTATACGCCGCCGCCGTACACTGCGCAACCACAACAACAGTTACGATTGCATTTTTGAAAATAAAAAGGGAATGGATAGGTGTCGCTTTAAAAACCGGACTTACCATCGTAGTAAGGGTCTGCGCGGTCGCGGTCGCGGCGGTCGCGGCGCCGTTCGCGGCGGTCGCGGCGTTCGGCCTCGGGGGCCTCCTCGTCCGTGGCCTGCGCCTGCGCCTCCCGCGACGCGCCGCGCGGCGAGTACGCCTCGCCTGCAGCCCGCCGCCACGTTAGCGTTACAACCACCGAATCGAATTACGATTAAAAATACACATCCCTCATCAGGAGCCCGTGCTTAGCAGTCGGGCATACCTGAATTAAGACAAACAAGTCCTGTCAGACTGCTTTAGACATATCGTACCGACTACGTATAGCTGGCCATCGGAAGATTCAAAAACCTCAGAAAATAAATTGTGTCAGTTGGTACTGTCACCGACAACATGATAGTAGTTATTCCTCAGGTGAGAACAGTATTGCAACAAAGTGATGAGTGATGCCGTAACAATCGCCTCAGTATACATGTTAATTCAAAACCAGATGCTTCTGTTATCACATATAATGTATTTAAGACAGAGACAATAGATAAATGTAATTTGAATCTGGCAGGGCAACAAGATATCTCTGTCTGATATGTAATCTCTGCAATACCCTACATACTAAAGTGATATAAATGACAAAAGTTTGATGACACGTTATCTGGCGAGACATTGGGAAAAAACCGTAAGTAGTAGGCAGCCGAATGCTTCAATTCATGCACATCCTCCCACACAAAGTGCACAGAGATGTACTAGGATATGCTCAAATGTTAATTAAACTCAAATGTTGAGTATGTTATGTGTTCAAAGATAGCAAGCAAATTGATGTTCCATTTATATTATTATAATAACAACTGGTGAATGTATATATTATTGCATCAAAGTACAATAGTGTTATTGAACTCGGGCCTTGTGACATGCAGATTACAGGTGATGTGTGCATCACTCTACAAGGCATGGCACACAACACTACGGCTCAGGTACCTTCTTTCCTACAATTGTTAGGTTTCTCATCGCTTGAGAACTTCACTGTAAAATAAATTAGAAATAATTTCTCAATTGTGTTATTGTCCAGTCCCCTAGCAAATTTTTCAGACCACTTTACGGGTCACAATAATGTTCAGCGAAGCTCACCTCGGCGTCGTTCCTCGTCGTCGCGCTCGAGACGGAGGTTGCCGTGCTTGCGCGCCGGGTCGATGTCGCGGTAGCGCGCCTCGTAACGGTCTCGGCGGTCGCCGCGCCGATCGCCGTAGTGGCGGTCGCGCTCGATTGTGTTGTACCGGCGGCTGCGCTCGCGGTCCTCGTAGCGCTTCTCTTTGTCCTCTGGCCGCGGCGGTTTCGATGTGTAAGATCCTTCTCTATAGCGCCTATTAACAACACATTTTATTTGTAGTACACATTCTTCTCAATTCTATCACTATTTAATCGTTAGTTTTACCTGCGCTCACGCTCTTTATCACTGTAATAGTCAGTGTCTTCTGTTTCGTAGCGATGGCTGCGTGCGCTACGCCGGTGCCTCCGTGAGTGTGGGCTTTCATCACGGTCACGCCTGTCGCGCTCCTTGTCTCTCTCCCTGCGATCCTTTTCAGAGCGATGGTCGTCGCGTATCGACCTCCTGTCGGATTCTCTGTCATACTTCCGGTCGCCTCGCGAGTACCGTCCCTCGTCTCTCTCCCTGTCTCGGTCGCGATCTCGCGAAGATTTAGAGTATTTGTCACGGTCCCTCCTTGGGGAGGCTTTGAAAGCTTTATCTCTCTCGGACTCCTCGCCTGAAGTGTTAATACGATTTAAAGATTGCCTCCTAGAACTTGTGACTGGGTGCTCCAAGGAATCGGATGCGTCGATTTTTCTGTCCATTCCCATATCACATGCATTTATATCTGCCCCTTCTAAAGTTTGTTCTCGGGAGTACGACATTTCAGCAGATGATATAATGCTCAAGTCTTGCAAGTTCTCTCCCTCCATGATAATCTCTCGTTGCTGCTCTTCAGGAGCTGCATTGAACTCAGGTGGTATGTCACTATTCACTTCTCGGGTATTCCCTGGCTGGCCTCTCAGTGCAGATCTGGGTGTCTGTTCTGAATAGTCTGACCCATCCACATTTTGTTCCCTCATCTCCGAGGGGCCTACATCACTTGGTATAGGATAGTCATGATCAACTCCAGTCACTACCCGCTGCTCGTTACTACTGCTATAATTATTCGCCTGGTATTGGGGGAATTCATTATTGCTGGGTTCTCCAGGTACCATTCTGTCCAAGCCAAAAGGTCTTCTCTCTGATGCCCTTGCAGAGGGAGGTTGACTGTAGTTGGGATTTTGTTGACCATCAGCTTGGCGGAAAGGTCGTCCTTCACTCTCAGTGGGTTGTCCATCTATATGACGCTCCCTGTAATTATCACTTGATTGGTTGTAGCTGTTATCAGACTCTGTCTGTTGCCCTGGTACCATTCTTGACAAGCCAGGTGGAGGTTCATCACCAGGCATATTCAAGTTTTGACTGTATTCAGATTCTTGTTGACCGACAACCATCCTTCTAAATCCAGGAGGTGGCACATTTCGGCTAAAATCAGTGTTGTCGCCATAATCCCCACTTGATAGATGAGCTGTTTGCAAATATTCATTTCTATCATTTTGTGGTGCTACTTCTAGATTATCAGGGACCTGTGGAGCAATGGGCATGGGTCGGAATGGTGACATTTGTGGTTGGTCAGGCCTCTCCGAATTATCAGGTGTTGTTTCCAAGTTAGCTCCAAATCCAACTGGTACCCTATGTTGGGAAGCTTTGTTAACTGCAGCCGGAGACACTAGGTTAGTATTGGATGTCGAATTAGGGAACGCCTGGAGAGATGGACTAGCAGAGGAAACTTTCTTGTGAGAAAATTGTGCATTCTGTTTAAATGGATTTGATCCTGATGAAGTGGGAAAGTTTATAGGAGGAGGAAAAGATGATGAAGTAGGAGGTGGGGGTAAGCTTGCTAATGTTATTGGCAGTGCTGGAGAAGCTGTGGATGAACAGTGAGGTGGTGGAGGGGGCATGGTAGAAGAGACAGGTGGAGGTAAATTTGAAGGAGACGCAGAAGGTGGAGGAAGATTTGGTAATATATTTTCTGGTGCTTTTCTAGGGTCCAAATCTTTTTTATTATGACATTCAGGAGCAGGAATTTCTCTATTCGTAATATTCATATCTTGCATAGAAGCAGGTAATTCATCATGACTTTCCCTTCTACTACTGCTGCCAGCATTGTCAACAAGTGTTGATTCCTCATTTGAATGATGAGACCACTCTTCAAATCCAGACTGAGAGTAATTGAAATTAGAGTTGTCAGTGTTTGGACCTGGACTACTTTTGCTAGAATTCCTTGATTGATTATCACTTCTGTAGGTGCCTTCAGAATGAGTTTGCAAGCCATCACTTGACTCCTGCGACATTTGGGATTCTATTGACCACTGTGGGGTTAAATTGTCTAGGTGGAGGCGTTTTCCAACTGCTAGGTTTGGCAAACGCTCCTTGACTATTTCTCTGTCACTCAAACTTCTCACTTCTTCAGGAACAGGAAGCTGTGCTGACAAATTGCTGGTGTGCCTCTGTATAGACTGCTCGTTTACACTACTATTTTCTAGAGGAATACTTTCCGGTGTTATTTTAGAGGCCTCTAGCTGCTGTTGAGGTGTTGAATCTATAGAATCTTTTTTATCCTCTGTGGACCAATTCCAGGTATCAGTATTGGAAAAACTTTCTTCTATAACATTAGCATTATTAAATATTTGCTGTTGTTGAGGCTGAGCACCAGGTTGGACTGCACCACTTGTATTCTGCCCTCCAGCATGCTGAGTTTGCTTAGAAGAGTCTTCCCAGCCCCAGTCCCAATTGTCTTCCCAGCTATCAGTATTTGGTTTCTTCTGGTAGTTTTGGTGCTGTGCCCCTTGGTTTTGGTAGTAATTTTGCTGATAACCTTGTTGCTGGATATTGGTGAAACTCGGATTAGTATAGTTCTGGTTGTACTGTGCTGGCTGTTGAAACAACTGATTAGCATTGTTTCCACAATCCTGCTGCTGGTACACCTGTTGGCCGTATTGCTGATTGTAGAGTGGCTGTTGCACTTGCCAATACTGTTGCGTTGTTGGGTTCCCTGAGGTTGGGGGAGCTCCTGAGTAGTTAGCATACGTATTCTGATTCCCATAAGCCTGCAATAAAATAGATGGTTGTGCATTAAACACTTGCAAAAGAATGTATATATTGCGCGTGAAAGGTGGTTGTCAGTTTAAGATATATTGCGAGAAGTCTAAAGACAAAACGGTAACAATTGTCGCCAATATGGGACTAAGGAAGGTCTGAGAGGTGTCCACGTCATTGTTTACGTCTTAGGCGCCTAACCTGTGGCTGCGGCAGGTGCGGCGAAGGTGCGTAGGGCGCGTGCTCAGGCGGGGGAGCCGTGCTGCCCGGCCGCTGCGACCACGACATGTTGCCACTCTTTACGTAACATACGGCTCCAGCCCGCTCTCGCTCACTGCATATGCCACACCGACACACACCGTCACTTTCATGGATCGAAACTAGCACCGAACACTTTCACTTTCACTTCCAGCTGTCTAACGACTCTGATACATTCGTTTCTACAGTGCCGACGATTTTGATTGGACTCCAATTAGCACTGTTTTGGTTTTTGAATCGAATAATGAAAATGAAATCATAAATTTCTATAGAAATAATGTTGACAGCAGTCCATCGATCGAAGGTGCCCTGTTGGCAGTGTAGCCATACAAATGATCACATTTTCCGCTAAGATTATTAATGTCATTCGGTAGGCGATGTTCAGTCATTTCATAAAAAAAATTGCTTTATGTAAATATATAATGGATACAAAAACGCATCTATTTTTCGTGGTGATAATAAATATTTATATTTTAAACTGTGTACATGTTGGCCAACACCCGACAAGTTAGTCGACATCTTTGACCTTTGCGTTGTCATTGTCTGTCCGTCTGTTTTACCCTTGTTCTACGTAAACTCTATTCTATACTATTTGTATGGGTCGTACTCAGTGTTGCCAGATATAATTTTCAAAACTCCGTAAGATGACGCTCAAAATGTATAACATATACAGGCTGTATATTTGAAAGCGAGACATATTCATGGATGTCATAGTAAATAATGTTACAACTTAACATAGACTAAAATAAAATTAGGATATGGGATAGAACAAAAAATAAATCAACAAATTTGTTTTGGAGCGTACATAGGAATAAACCGATTCCCTTTACGCTTGATTTCGAGTGCATTGGGAATATTACCAAATGATCGCCGAGTGAGACAGCAACAATAACAACGATTTCACATCTCTCTCCCACATACTCATTTATGTTATGATGAAAAAGCTGTCATCGAAATAATTACGTTTTAGCTTATGTTGATTATTTTTTACTTATGAACTATCATCGAAATGTTTTACGTACTAAAAAAGATAATTAAGTTATCATTTAATAAGAATTGAGGTGTTTGGTGTAGTTAAAAATGTGAAATGAAATTATTTACAATGATTGATTTTTTAGTTATTTACAGTTTATTTACACTTACGTGGTACGGAGCAAGTGTTCAAAATGTCCACCGTTTTCCACAATGCATAGTCTAGCACGTCTTAGTAAATTTTGTTTTAAATTGATCAACATAAACACAAATTTTGTCTCACAGTATAAAATGCTGAGACAATCTTTGCATGAGAACATCTTCGACACTGTTCACCTCCTCCGCGTAAACTCCAATTTGGGAACATTTCAATAGCTCGCCTCACACTATCACCACTTATTGCGTAAAGTCGCACCATCTCAGTCAATTCGACGTTAGAATAGATATCCATTTTGCAGGCGAGAGGCGCGTTCGCCGCCGGCGCAGTGTTCGGGCGAGCGGAAGTACAAATAATTTACGTGTCTTCGCTAGGCCAAGGTCGCGCGTACACTGTCTCTGCAAACAGTGCCGACCTTTTTTTTTTGACGGGGGGAAATCTTTATGAATACCCCTGAGCCCAGGGAGACTCAGGGGTTATGTGGGGACTCTCCCTCCAGACTGGTGGGCCCACCCCACTAAAACCCCCCGGGTTTCCCTCGCCGTGGGATCAGTGAACATTCACCACGACGAAACAGTGCCGACCTGAGCTTTGTTCTCGCCGGTGCGTCCGTCAGAGCAATAATGGTGGTATGCACAGAATTCGATAAGTAATGTTGCTCACAAGTAGTCGTCGATAAAAAAAAATAATAAAAAATATTTTTTTGTAAAGTTTAAGTTCATTAGTTTATTATTTTTTTGAGTTCAGATTCAGGTATATAACGCAATCTATAAGTATGTCTCACTTTCAAATATACAGCCTGTATAAATAAATAAAAATCCGAATTGTCCATAGTGGGACAGAAGTTAAATCGCCTACAAAATAAAAATCCTTAGTATTCCGTAGATTGCTTCTAGAAAAATCTATAGATCTATAGACTTTTCTGAAAGCTATTATACATCATACTGTTTACTTAGTTCCTACTTGGTTAAGAAATTGAAGAAGCTGCACATCGTTTACTTAGTTGGTTGTCAAATATTCAAGATGGCGGACGCAGATGCGGTCCTCTTTGAAAATTAATTTACAACGACGTGTTGCTCACATTTCGCTATTTGAATTTTTTAATTATTCGCATTGATTAATTTGTGTATAACAATATTCCATAATCGCGAAATAGTATACAAAATTTCACACTATCCATCTCGTTTTGCAAGCATGTAATGACTCGTGTTAAAACAATACAAAACATAAATTTAGATTAATAAGCAACAGAGTGTTCTGACTACACAATAACGAATACTATCCAGCTACTAAGGTTACCATATAAATTTAAAAAATATAAAGGAGACTAGGCTCAATCATAACTGTTACTTGACTAGACTACATGATCTAAAGATCTTTGCCTTTCCACAAGGACAAGTATCATAATATCATAATTTCAACGACGACTGTATTTTTTTCTTTTACTTTAGTAAAAGTTTGTTTTTCTTTTTAGTAACATAATAATTATAAATACTAACCGGAAGGCCTCTGGGTCAAAGCAAAATGGAATGGAGTGTATTTTGCAACTAATAACGACTTTGCCAAAGATAAGCTGATAAGCTAAGCGGGGCAGTAAACAGTGGAGTGACAGCCGAGGATGTTTCAAATATAATAAAAAACATGACGAGAGGAAAATCTCCAGGTCACGATGGCCTCAGCATCGAGCACCTGCAGCACGCTGGTCCCCATACATCTAGAGTTCTTTCCATGTTTTACACGTTATGCGTAAGCCACTCCTATTTACCGTCAGATCTTATGAAAACCGTGGTGGTACCAATAGTAAAAAATAAGACGGGTGACCTTGCCGACAAAAGCAACTATAGGCCCATTTCCCTAGCTACGATTGTCGCCAAAGTGTTTGACGGTGTGCTTAATACACAGTTACAAAAACACACAAAACTGCACGACAATCAATTTGGTTTCAGACCCAAATTGTCCACAGAAAGTGCAATACTGTGTCTTAAGCATACCGTTAGATATTACACGGTTCGTAAAACGCCAGTCTATGCGTGTTTCCTCGACTTGTCTAGGGCCTTTGACCTGGTGGACTATGATGTCTTGTGGAATAAGCTGGAGAGCATGGGGCTACCGCATGAACTGATAAACATTTTTAAGTATTGGTATGCACACCAGGTTAATAACGTCAGGTGGGCGGGTACAATGTCAGAGTCGTATCGGCTTCAATGTGGTGTGAGGCAGGGTGGTTTGACCTCGCCCACACTGTTCAATATATATATGGATGCCTTGATCGTCGAGCTCAGCAGTCGCCATGTCGGCTGTCACGTTGATGACGTTTGCGTAAATAATCTCAGTTATGCGGACGACATGGTTCTGCTGAGTGCGTCAGTTTGTGGCCTACGCCAGCTATTACAAGTCTGCGAATTGTACGCTGAAGAACATGGCTTACGGTATAACGCTACCAAAAGTCAGTACTTGGTCTTCCGGGCCGACGGTGCTAAGTGTCCACAAAACGTACCACCTGTATACCTTAACGGAGTCCCTCTAGATAGAGTGGACCATTTCAAATACCTAGGACACATAGTCACGGTCGGCCTAGAGGACAAAGTTGACATAGAGCGCGAGCGGAGGGCCTTGTCCATGAGGGCAAATATGTTGGCTCGCAGGTTTGCGCGGAGTTCAGTGGGGGTGAAGATCACGCTCTTTCGTGCGTATTGCACTTCACTGTACACGTGCGCCCTGTGGTCCAATTATACAAAAAAAGCGTACAACACGCTCCGTGTACAATATAATAACGCTTTCAGGGCGATATTGGGGCTGCCCCGCTCCTGCAGCGCCTCCGGTATGTTCGCGACGGCGCGCACCGACTGCTTTTACACAACCATGCGCAAACGGTGCGCGTCACTGGTGCGCAGAGTGCGGGCCAGCTCTAATACCGTCCTGAACATGATAGCGGAAAGGCTAGATTGCCCCTATGTCCGGCATTGTTGCGATAAGCATGCCTGCTATAGTGCCGGACATGGCGGTAATTAAAAATTAAAAATTAGGTTACTATTAGATTTAATTTCATTTATTTTATATTCATTTAAATTTTATTTTTATTATTTTGATTTGTTTTCCTTTGCATGATATTATTATTATTTTATTATTTTGATTTTTGATAGATGCAATGGGTTTAATTTTAATTTAATTTTGATTTTATAAATTGTATTAATAATGTGAAATGTTTTGTCTATTATGGGTCTTTGCTGCCCGAAATAAATGATTTTTATTTTTATTTCTTATTTTAAAGGTTTTGCGTTAATTCCCCAACTTTAAATAAAAAAAAATAAAAAACTATAAGTCATATAAACGAAAAAGGTACCTATTCAAAAGTTGTGAATCCCAAAAACACTGCCATTGTGATAAAAAATTTTAGCATGAAAATAAGATTTTATGAGTTATCTAAAATTTATATAGGGTGTTAAAAAAACAACGTTTAGAAAAATAATATTTTGATTACAAATTTAATATGCTCACAATTTGTTTATTTTTAAACATTTTTATGTTTCCATGTATTTAAAAAGTGTAAGCTTACATTTTTGTCCTTAATTTCCGTCTCAGAGTATACAAGCGAAATATAGATAAAGAGTGTAAAATCTAAAAAAGATCATTTTCATGTACTTTTTTTCGCAAGTCACTCCGTTTTACGCAATCTATTCAATATATCTAATGCTATTAATTAATGATGTGGACTTAAGTGTATGTACAGCCAAGAGCACATCGAATTTGGCGCTTTGGTCCGTTCTAATAGCAAACATATAGTTTGAATGAAATTTTAATTTCAAACTTGACGTACTCCAAACCCTGTCGGTTTTCCGTTGCTTTTCGGTTTACGCACAATTTTATAAAATTAAATTTTTTATACTTTTGTTTGAATGGATAGAACAAAAATCCATAGATTTGTCATTAAATAATTTTAGTTTACCATAAATAGGCAAGACCAAAATTCCGTAAGTCTGGTATCACTGGTCCAACCTATATAACATAGATATACACTATATTTTAACACACGTCACGTCACGTCAGCTGTAATCTGTGAATTTGGTGTAGTTTGGTCGAGATGAGATGACTTTTAGGCGGTCCATCAATCTCACTCGATCAAATGTCAGTTTTTTCTCTCTCTCAACATATTTACAATAATATATTACTGTTCTAGAGCAGTGGCAGTTGAACGGGCGATAAGGGAGTACTTTGGTACAACAAAAGATTATAAGTTCAGGGGTAATTTAATAGCTGATAAGAGCGTCAAGCGCTACACGTTCGTGTGTAATACGTCGCTAGTGGTTAGTCGTCCTGTCCGAGTCGACCTGAAGTACCTGCACGGCTCGCCGTGATGGCCGAAGAGACGAACCAGTTATTTACTCGCGAGGAGTTGAAGTCGCGTAACAAGCGCACCGACGCCGTGCTCATCATCCACAATGAGGTGTACGACGTGACGCAGTTCCTCGACGAGGTAAGTGTTTCGCCCTTACACTGATAAAATCTGTTGTATAGTGAAAACATAAAAATGCGTAAATTTACCTTATGAAGAAATGTGATGGAGGTCTCTTGTAGGTGCTATCAGCTAATAATTTAAGTAGTTTGCTAGTATGAATTATGCTCGGAAGTCTTAAGAAAACCCTGTCCAGATCTAGGACATATATCTGGGTTCCTCATGGGATGGTGACAGCCTTACCAAATATGTCTAAAGGCAGCTGAAGTACAATTTCTAGGCAGATAATGAAAAAAAAAAATTTAATTACTTTTTGCTTCACCAAAGGTTGTGAATTGCATCTAACATTTTTGAAATGACCAAAATGGTGAGGTCAAAATTAACATGCCTGTTACTATAATATATCCAATAATTTTATTAACTGAATGATTTCTCTTTATTACTTTGCCTGGCTATGGTGGCAATGTCTTGCATTGAGTAAAAATCATAGTTTACTTAATAAACTTATTTTATTTTATGTTATTTAATCATTTATTGCACAGGAAAACACATTTGGTAAAATGGAACACACACAAAAGGTACTGCTTATTTCTAAAAGAAATTTCTTCCAGCAGACCCAAATACACCACACACTAATTACAATAATGGGTTTACAAGCACAACAAAACAAAATTAAATTATGTCATAAAATAATAATAAAAAAAGAGCACAAATATCAAATTCCTGCAGACTATCTAAATACTTAGATAAATACATATTTCACATTAATTATTATATTATAATATCTATAACATGAATGTTAAAGTGGATAAATTTTCAGTAGAGCTCCTTGTGAAAGAGTTTGTCCAGGGGAAGTACTGCCACCTTACCTGTTTCTGCCGCAAAGCAGTAATGTTAGCATTACTGCCTTACAGGCACATGGGACTTGTCAACTTATGTCTCAGGGTGACGGGCACAGTGGTAGTGTTCCTCAGATCTTTGCGATTCCTCAAAGCTGTGAGTGGCACTGCAACTGTTATGGACAGGCGTGTAGCTTACCATCAGGCACACAACTTGTTTGTCCTGTCACTTGATATTACAAAAAAAATAGTGCTCCTCTCATTTTAAAGATAGCTGAGGGTTTACTATCTTGAATAGTAATGGGAAGTGCATTCCAAAATCTGACCACATTTACAGTAAAGGAGTGAGAATAAAAACTTTTTTAATTGATTGAATTGATTGATGGAAAAGATAACTGGGACCTAACGAGAGAGTGACGGCTTATCCTGGGACATGAAATAGCTGAAACTCTCTTTCAGGTACCTGGGAGACAAAGGATTATGTAGAATGTTGTGAAGAACAGAGATAATATGCAAATTCGTGCAGAGATGAATGGGAAGCCGCTTGACCTGACTGCGGTAGTGTAAGATTTGATCTGAATTTGATGATATTTATGAAGGCCAAAGATGAACTTTATACACAGATGTTGCAACAGTTCAAACTTTTAGCAGCTCTTTAGTAGCATCTAAATAGTAGGAATCAGCATAGTCTAGGAAGGGTAGAATAAGAGACAGAGCTAAACAAGTCTTGGGCAAAAAGTTTTGGACTTTTTGTCACTTGATGTTATATAAAAAAATCATGACCTGCAACTTTTTGGGATTAACCAACAAGCCAAATGACTCAGCCCAATGAGCACTGTTTCTTAAATCAGCATTAACCACTTCAATGGCTGCAACAACATTGGAAGTTTTAAACTGAGGTAGAGCTGCAAATCGTCAAAGTCAAAGTCAAATAACCATTTATTCCATGGGTAAAATTTTTATACTTGAAAACGTAATTTTTTTAAGCACTGCTTATTCACTGCACAGACCTTCCTGAGAAGAACGAGCAAGAAACTTAAATGCTATGGAATACACTTTGAATCATAATTGTGTGGAATCTAGACTCTTGTTGTCTTTCCATACTTCTCTATCTAACACATACTCTTCAATTTTATAATATGACTTTTCAATTAAAATAATTTTAATGTAAGTTTTAAACTTATGAAAGAATCTTATTCTAAAAACATACACAGTTCCCCATAAAATAATCTTTTACCTTAGTTAAACATAATCTTTTTAATTGTTAGTTTTAAGATTAATATTATGGATATCTTCTTTCTTAATGAAATTATGTATATTTTTTACGGGCATACAAAACATTTGAGTAAATATACTGTGATGCCAGTCATGATATCAGTCTCCTTAAACTTTTCTTTTAGAGAAACCCGAGAACCTAAACGGTACACAGAATGAATCGCTCGTTTTTGCAACACAAACATGGTTTGTATATCTGTCACTTTACCGCACATGAGAATCCCGTAGGAGATTATACTATGGAAGTAACTTAAGTAAACTAGTTTAGCAGTAGCAACATCGGTGTACGAGCAGTAGATGTGTCAGTCAGATATGTCGTAACTTAACCTAAATATGTTGCTGATCGCGCGCATTGTCGCGTTTACATCCATCCATACATAAGGACAACGGCACATCAGACTACACATTTTTGATCGAAAATCGCCTCCATTGCAACGGAACAAGATACGTCAATGTGTAGCTAGATGTGCTGGCGTGTGTCGTATGTGTGACGTATATTTTTAGTACAATAAAGACCTTCGGACAGTGCGGTGCCTTACATATTTTACATCATCATCATCTGTAATTTCGATAATTTTTGCAGCACGTTGCCTCGAATGTCCGAATATAGTGAGCAAATAATTACATACATCGCCGGATATATAACACGCGCGTAATACAAAAAATCTACAGTGCGTGTCTTTACAAAAATCTGGAGTTGGTTATACGTATGAGTTCGTTGCTTTCGAGGACGATGGTGGTCTAGTTTATCCCGCCTAAGATGCTATCCAAATATGCAGAGTAGCAGAGTTAGAAATCCGAGAAATAATAAACAAATCACAAAAATTCCACACGAGGCCGTCATTAAGTAAACCACTTCTGATTAATAAGATTTTACCGTATTTTGTCAGCATTAACATTTTCATTTGTCTGCCATTCATCAATTTGATCAATTACCAACAGAAAACCTTCTCGTAAAATTAATTAAGGCAGTCGCAATTTCATATATTGACGTGCGTTTTCATTATTTAAGTTAATCTTGAATTCTGGACAAGTCCCGAAAACCTGGAAGCTTGCATATATACACAGCCTGTACCTAAGAAAGGTAGTCATACCTATCTAATTATCGACCTATCGCAATCACCTCCATACTCTGTATCTCCTTGGATACCTCGAAGATAACGATCTCCTCAGTGATCGACAGTATGGTTTTCGCCGTGGTCGATCTACTTGGATACATTTATGCGAGCGAGGCTGTCGAGAAACGCGGTGAATCGCTTGCCGTATCTCTCGACATATCAAAGGCTTTTGATAGGGTTTGGCATGATAGCCTGTTAAACAAGCTTCCAGCTTACGGAATTCCTCTTGGCTTTTGCACATAGGTAGGCGATTTTCTGACAGATCAATCCGTGTAGTTGTAGATGGTTACTCGTCTGCTCCTCATGGTATAAATGCCGTTGTACCTCAAGGATCTGTCCTCTCCGCCACTCTATTCT